GGGGAGCATCAAGTGTTGAAAGGTCCCTTGACTCTCAGCAACGACCTTTGCTGCTCAAAGCAAGCATCTCATGCTCGAACTGAAAAAAAAGCACTTACCGAGATCGACGTGGTACATCCTCCTGCCAGCCAAACAACCGATCAAGCCAAAACCAGAGAGTGTATTAGCGTCAGGCCAACAAAGAGCAGCAGGAGGCCTATTAAGGGGCAACTGTAATACCTCAGCGTAGTCGCTATCACTATCATCGGGTCCCGAAGGCAGCTCTCCATCGTCCTCGTCTTCCTCTTCTTGGGGCTCCGATTCACCATCGCTGTCACTTTCATGCCGTCCCACCAGTAGGCGCTGGTTGGCACGCTTTGCACGCTTTGCTGCCTTGCGTGCTGTTCGCGGCTGTACATTCCACATGAATCAGACTCGAGTGAGCTGCATCAATGCCAGAGTTGACGCGGGCCACTTGGGAGAAGACTCACTTGACTCTTGGTGCGCTCATCGAGCGATTTGTCGCGTTGGATGCAGTCATCAAAGATATGAAAGGCCGTGAACCAGGCCGACCAGGAGGTGGCTGCTTGGACATACGACAACCAACGTGTAAACACGTCGCTCAATTTTGCAGTGTCCTTGCCGGTCGTAAGGGGTGGCGCCAAGTACCTAACAAAAAAAGAAACGATCCAAGAACGACAAAGGGGGTTAAGGAAAATAATACCCCAAACCAAGCCGAAACATTAAGTCCACGTGTGTCAGCCATTACAGCAGAGTTGCCAGTGACAGACGTGAACATTCAAGTGCGTACTTGGGTTGCAATCGTTGGCCCACGCGTGCTAGCAGGTTGCTCATGGCAGTAAGAGCTGGCGTTTTGTTTGAAAGAGCATCCAAGATGTCATCTTCAGGCTCGTAATCAAATCCGGAAAAGCACAACTGCAAAGGGTTTGCGCCTGTGTGAGAACACTTCACAGAGGTTGGGCAAACGTAGCATGCACCTGCTGATAACACGTACCATTTGATAGCATTCTGAAAAGTCAACACCTGCTTTTGCACTGAGGAGAGACTCCAGGTCAGTCGAGGCTGGTGGTGGGGTTGGCGCATTTGCAGACGCAAGTCCGTTTACTCCTTCCGCGTTCGGCTCCGCGTCAGGCCGGGCCGGGCTGTCAAGGGCTTCGGTATCCATGGCCTCGGTCGGCTCTTGCTTTGGCGCAAGGACTTCGACCCAAGGCTTGAGAGCAGCATGGAGCTTACGCTCGCGCAGACCACGCAAGTCGAGGGCCGAAAGCAGACCCTCACCCGCCGCACGATCCATGTAACACGTCCATGTGTTTGCCTCGGGGTTGTGGCAATAGATGCCTTTGCGCGAGGGAAACACGTAATAGCGTTGGCGGTGCCGATCCTCACCCTTGCAAGCGTCTGCAAACTTGTTCTGCTCAACCATCAGGCGGGCCTCCAACTCGTGCAGGAAGTCAGATTCAAGCCGCTCCTCCTCGATTTGTTGCTCCTATAACACGGCCATTGCAACGTGAACTGACTCAATCGGTGGGTGCACCCCGTACATCAGTCCATGAGGCCGCGGCCGTCAGTACTAGACGGACCAATTCGGAGACAACTGGCGCTTGTTTTGCGCCCCGCGTCCGGGTACGGCGAGTGGCTGCTTCCAGTTCGCGTGCAATCTGCTCATCCGATTTTGGCTGCGGAGACCAAGCAATGCAACTGAGCACAGTACACTGGGCAGACCGTCGCCTGGCTGAGCGGTTGCCATCAACTGAAATCCGACCTGTTCCTCTTCCTTAATTTTCTTGATTTGTCTTGCAGCAGCAGCTCGCTTGCGCATGGCAGTGTACTAGCATGGGTATGATTCAATATTAAATGTGGGCCAGCCAGGAGGCCAAGTTGGATCAGCGGGTTTGGGCACACACACACACACACACACACACACACACACACACACACACACACACACACACACACACACACACACACACACACACACACACACACACACACACACGAGCAGAGCAGCAAGTATGCCGCATGCGTACCTTGTCACGACGCATATCAGCAAGTTTATTTTGATGCTGATCAAAAATCTCAAGGATGTGATCATTATCGAAATGCTGGTCCGCCAGGAAGCGCAGAGTGGCAATCTGATCCTCGAGTGCCAGATCTGCAAAGTGCTTTTTGCTGAGGGCCTATGAATGTGTACGTTGAAAGACCGGTGAGTTGGACAGGGCCACGCTCAGCCCTGTTGACACAAAGGCGCACCTCTGTAATGGCCGTGACTTGCTCGCGGGACCAGCCAGCCACTTTGCTATGTAGCAAGAGGTAGTGGCGGCACACCTAGAATACCGTAGCAAGCGTATCATCAGAACAAGGCAAAATGCGTAACATTGCGCTAGTTGGGAATGATCATGCCTCGGATGATGTGTCTGCATTGACTGGCAGCTCATTCAGCGGCATATCCAAGGTTGCACAAGGTGCCTCGGTGCTGTGATCACCCTCGGTGATTTCCATCAGGGTGATCAGCAGGCATGCCAAGAGTTCGCCGAGCGGCTGCGCATCGGTGCCCGCTTGCATAGCCTGCTTTGGAGCCACGTAGCAGGCGGCCGTCAGTCGACGCTAGGTCGGTGGTTAGGGGTTGGCTGGAAGTGCTTTGCGGTGGGGCATGAGGCGCACCTCTAGCTTTTCGAGAGTCAGGCGCGCGCAACTGTCGACAGCCATGCCACCGCTAAAGGCACGACAAAATTCAACGATCATCATGGCATCCAAGAATTGCGCCGGGTGCGTCTTGACGTGCAACGGAGAGCCAGCTGGCAGGGGTTGCGTGTGCGTCAGGTCCTCGTCGTGAATCGCCTGAAGCGTGCGAGTCAATAGAGCGGGTGAGCAAAGGCATCTAAACGATCTCGGGTCCAACCCAGCGTGCCGTACATCTCCCTTGGCGTCGGCTTTGGCGTCGGCCTTGGCTTTCTTGTCTGCCTCACGCAGTCGCTTTTCCGCCTCGCGCTGCTTCTTCTCCAAGGCCTTTTTGTTCAGTTTTTCTAGACGGCTAAGTTCGCCAACGGATTTGGCTCGTGGTTTGCCGACCTTGCTTGGTCCATATCCCCTGGATATAAGCCGACCCCGAGCCATGGATCACAGCACACGATCGGCAGATGAAAAACAAGACGATGGCCAATGCGATGAGCGATGAGCCGGAGACGCAGAAGAACGAGGCAATTCCGAGCATTGAGGTGAAAGCAAATTGAAGAAAAATAAGCAGTGGTGCCAATCATGCAAGCGTACGGCTGGAGAAACTTGGTCAAAACGGTCTGATTCTTTTCGCCATTGGCAGTACTATCTGGCTTGGCCTTTTTCGAGGATGGAGCCGGAGCAGGCTATACGATAAGGGCGAGTGGATGAGAGCAAATCTGGACATGACAAAGTCCATCAAGCTGGCATCGCTGGGCATGTACTCGAGGGAAGGTGGCACATCTGATCATGAGGGAGTGAGCGGTTGTCGTGGGGCGTACTTCGGCTTCGGGGTCGTAGTCTGGGTCAGCAAACTTTTTCCGTTGTGACTGAGATGCGACAGTGGCCAAGGCAGACAGAGAGAATAAGGGTTGCAACGGTCAGAGGTGGGCCGGGTCAGGGAAGGAGATGGCCGTACCATGGGCATGGCTTTCCATAGGCGCGCCAGTTCTTGTTTTTGTTCTGACGAGTTGAATGGGAACCCAAAAGTGGGAGAGGGAGGACGGCGTGAGGCAGGGTGCGAATGCTCGGGCCACTTTGCGAATAAGCGGCTCAACGCGTGGCTGGATGGAGAGCTGTTTGAAAAGAACGCACGCATAAAGTTGGAGAATTGCGTCTTGTCCAGGCTTTTGCTGTCGATGCAAGGCCCGGATGAGCGTGCAGCGGATATCATGTGAGCGAGTCGGTACAGAAACATGTGTGCGGCGGGAGGAGGGCGGGGCCGTGCATGCGCACCGGGCGTGAACGGAAAACTTGAGAAAGCCGTCATTATGTGAGTTGACTTGGCTACTACCAGGTTTGGGGGGAGCGCGCTTGCTGGCAGCAGACTCGCGGGATGGGGCATCCGGCCGAGGTGTCGAGGTGCTCGAGGCTCGCCCACTGGCCCGGCGGGTGGATGATTCTGTAACAGAACGGCGATGGGTGCTGCTCGTGCTCTGGGTGGAGGCCCGCGAGCTGGAGGGTTGTTTTTCATGAACGGACGGGTTGGGTCGCGCCGCCTGGGAAGGCTTTGTCCTAAACAAGATGACATAAACGGCATCAGAAGGAGCCAAGAGGGCGAAGCAAAGGCAGGCAGGCAGCGCGGGCTGGCGGGAACGCACGAGGAAAAGTAGTTGTCGAGTCCATTGCTGCTTTCGCGTCGAGACGGCTCATGGCTGGCACTCGAGTGGCGATCGCTGCGAGCTCGGTTAGCTCCAGGATTGGGCTTGCGAGGATCGCTGGGCGGGGCGTGGTCGCTCGAGGGGCGGTATCCTGGCGTGGGTCGGCGCGGTGATGGCGAGCCATCTGGGCCACTCTGACTGCCACTTGACTGGCGGCGATAGGCCGCCAGAATCTGATGCTTGGACGGCCTGTCAACCCCATGATGGTGCGCGTCCACGTGCATGTGTTAACAAAGCCCCAGGCACCAAGTCCGGCGAGCACAAGCGAACGAGCGAGCGAGCGACAGAGACACGGTGATGGTCGATCTGACACACATGCACAGGCTCGCCAGTTGCCAACCCAACCCAACCAAGCCTTCTTTCCTCCACCCAGCAAGCAGCGACCGCCATCAAAGCATAACCTACATCATCGTGCCTGTTGTGCGCACCAATTCACCCCCCGCAGCCTCCTCCTGCCGCTGCTATCGGCCACACACGACACGGTGAGCCCAGAGAGAGAGAGAGAGAGAGAGAGAGAGAGAGAGAGAGAGACAGAGAGAGAGAGAGAGAGAGAGAGAGAGAGAGAGACAGAGACAGAGACACAGACACAGACACAGACACAGACACAGACACAGACACAGAGACAGAGACAGAGACAGAGACAGAGACAGAGACAGAGACACAGAGAGAGAGACAGAGAGAGACAGAGAGAGAGACTCACACACGTCTCGACACCAAAAAGAGAAATGTGCTGTAACGGTTAAAAACACACACATATCCACACACACACACACTTGCACACACTTTACACACACAACACAGAAGAGGTCAGGAAGAGAGGGACTGCGCTAAGAGACAGTGTAGGTAAGAGTGACAGGAGAGTGAGGAGAGAGGGGGGGCATAGGGGCAGAGGGACATGGTGCGTTGCTGCTGATAATCGCTATCCCTTCACATCTTGCCATCCAAGCCAAAACCACACTAATCTTCCTCGAACAATACGCCCGCCGGTGCTTTCTGTGTGAGCGCTCTTCACTTTTCAACTGGGCGCCCCCTTCTCCTCCTGATTTTGCCCATCCTCTGTGTCTCGCTGCCCCCCTGCCCAGGAGCTATGAAAGTGAGCGGGCATCAACTCCAACAAAAAAGGCGTCGCCAGTGCACGCACTTCTGATGGCACAGAATCTCAGATCGATTGGGGGCATACGGGTGTCGGGTCGGGGCCAATTTTTCCCTCTTGTGCAGGCAAACAACACTGGTCGGGTTAATCGCTGTCGTCGTCCGAATCGTCTGCCTACAAGACAGATGCGCGGTACAGGTATTGAGTGCGGCAGGGCGGGTGCCATGATTTGTAAAAATGATAAAACATAAAAATAAAACCAAAAATGCAGGTCTCGAGATGCTGCCAACGACCAACGGACATCGCGATAA